CAGATGCAGACATCAATACTTTTGACATTGAAATCCTGATGACATTGATTCGTTACTGTTGTAGATTCACGTATCCCGATGACGACTGGGAACAACCGGATAAAATAGATAATCCCGAACTCGCAAATCTTATCCGCATCCAACAGTATAAAAACACTAAATTAGATCGGAATACAAGTTGTAAAATACCAGCCAAGGATTTTGATGAGGAGTGGAAAGAAGTAAAAGAAATTCTCTTGGATCTTGGTGTTCCCTCTAACGACATCGAAGACATTCGCCTTAGAAAAGGTAAATATTAAATGAATAAAATTCGTATCATATAAGGTTCTCTTATTGTTCTCTTTTAACTTTCCTCTTTTCTATTCAATAGGTTTTGATAAGACTGCCATTCAAGAAATACAGAACTTCCAAACGATCATGTTACTTGTTGTTGGCCTTGGTACACATGTGATGAGGAAGTACTTTCTACGAGTTCACAATCTGAAAGAGGGAGATGTTGGGCAGTTTCTGATGAGTATGAAAAGTAGCTTTACAAAAGAAGCAAGGTTGTTTAGAGACCAGAAGAACAAAATGTTTACACCAAATGCAAACATTAATGACTTTGATATTTCAATCATGATCAAAATCATTCGCTACTGCCACTGCGGCAATCCACTTCCGGATTCGTTTTGGTTACAACCAGATGAAAAGCTTGACAGCGAACTTACAAATTTTGTTCGTATCCAGCAATTTAGAAATACAAAGTTTGCCCACACAGCGAGTCCAAGGATGTCAACAAAGGAGTTTGATGTTGAATGGAAGAATCTGACGTCCATATTCCAAGGAGTTGGAGTTTCAATGGAAGATATTGATCAATATAAACGAATTCGATTATCAATCTAACTTGAATAATACCAACCATCAGTTTTGGCACATTACTGCACATGCTTGGATTTGATTTTCTGTATGTCTGTATGTCACCTAAAACTAAATGTAAATATATAAACTAATGTATATAATAATACGAAGTACAAATGTTTTTCTATATAACCCAAATTTACCTTCTGTGATTTCGACCCCAAGCTGTGAACACTCATTATATGGAAGGTGTCACCGGTTCTACAGACAAAA